TAACAAGTGGTTTTAAATTAATAAGCAATATTTATAAATAATAAATCAAATTACATAGATATGTCATATTATCCATGCAAGTCTCTTTTGAAATGCAAATTGTCTATCTTATCACTTTATTATTTACTGTATGTTTCACATTTTAAATAATAATATTAAGTGTTTTCTAAAAGTGTTCTTTAACTTATATAAATAATAAGTGGTTTAAAAATTAATGAATAACAATTTAAATGATAATAACATGAAATTATAAATTACATTTAGCTATAAATAATTGTATTTTAAATGAACATCTTTATTGAAATTAGAAAATGATCACATAAGTAAAAATGTAATTAATCAATAATAATAATTGTTACAAATAATACTAAATAGATAATTATATTTGATTCTATTAATGAGGAATGGGGGTTGATGTCAATGAAATATTATTGTTCAAAATAATTGAGATTATATATATATATTATATATATATATATATATATATATATATATATATATATATATATATATATATATATATATATAATCTCAAAGTTAATGTCAATAACATACATATTTATAAAGCTAGCATTTTTCCTTGAACCTCATCCATTTGAAACCCCCATAAAAATTTGCAAACACCTCATGCATTTGAAACCTATTATTTTAATGAATATCACTCAAAAGTCTTTTAATAATGATTAACAATTCAAAGGTTTTATAACTTATATAATATATTTAATAAACAATTAATGGATACTCTACTATAAAAAGGTAAATCTTTTTTAGTAGACACACAGATCAAAATCACATACAAATTGACAAAGAAAACAAGTTAAAGTTTTTGTGTTGGTTTGAGAGTTTGAACAATTTTTCGAGCCATGTTATTATGTTGGAAGTTTTTAATTTGTAAGTTTGTTATATATTAATTCTTTTTTCTATTTTCTTGATTTAAGTATTCTTTTAAGAATATCATTGTATGTTGTGGTTGAAATTTTAATGTAATTAGATTAGATTTATGTTATCGATCATATGTTATGGAATGTAATATCTATAATATTTATTAACTATTTGTATACATGTGGTGTATGTTCATGTTGCTTCAAAACAATAATTAATTAAAAATCATGGAATGTCATATATCCATATTATCCATGTAAGCCTTTTTTAAAATGCAAATGTCTATCTTATCAGTTATATTTTAGTATATGTTTAACAGTTTAGTTATAATAATAAGTGCTTTTTAAAAGTTTCTTTCACTTATTAATACTAACAAGTGGTTTTAAAATTAATAAGCAATAATTATAAATAATAAAATCAAATTACATAGCTTATCATATAATCAGCCATCAAGCCTCTTTTGAAATGCAAAGTGTCTATCTTATCACTTTAGTATTTACTGTATGTTTCACCATTTTAATAATAAATTAAGTGTTTCTTAAAAGTGTTCTTTAACTTATATTAATAATAAGTGGTTTAAAATTAATGAATAACAATTTTAAATGATAATAACATTAATTTATAAATTACATTTAGCTATAAATAAATTGTATTTTAAATGACATCATTATTGAAATTAGAAAATGATCACATAAGTAAAAATATAATTAATCAATATAATAATTGTTACAAATAATACTAAATAGATAATTATATTTGATTCTATTAATGAGGAATGTGAGTTGATGTCAATGAATATTATTGTTCAAAATAATTGAGATTAATATATATATATATATATATATATATATATATTATAGATATATATATATATATATATAATCTCAAAGTTAATGTCAAATACATACATACTTATAAATCTAGCATTTTTCCTTGACCTCATGCATTTGAAAACCCCCATAAAAAATTGCAACCCTCATGCATTTGAAACCTCTTATTTTAATGAAATGATCACTCAAAAGTCTTTTAATAATGATTAACAATTCAAAGGTTTTTATAACTTATATAATATATTTAATAAACAATTAATGGATACTCTACTATAAAAAGGTAAATCTTTTTTAGTAGACACACAGATACAAATAACATACAAAATTGACAAAGAAAACAAGTTTAAAGTTTTTTGTGTTGGTTTGAGGGTTTTGAACAATTTTTCGAGCCATGTTATTATGGTTGAAGTTTTTAATTTGTAAGTTGTTATATATAATTCTTTTTTGTATTTTCTTGATGTAAGTATTCTTTAAGAATAGCATTGTATGTTGTGGTTGAAATTTTAATGTAAATTAGATTAGATTTATGTTATCGATCATATGTTTATGGAATGTAATATATATAATATTTTATTAACTATTGTATCATGTTTGTATGTTCATGTTGCTTCAAAACAATAATTAATTAAAAATCATGGATATGTCATATTATCCATATTATCCATGTAAGCCTTTTTTAAAATGCAAATTGTCTATCTTATCACTTTATATTTTAGTATATGTTTAACATTTTAGTTATAATAATAAGTGCTTTTTAAAGTTTCTTCACTTATTAATAATAACAAGTGGTTTTAAATAATAAGCAATATTTATAATAATAAAATCAAATTACATAGATATGTCATATTATCCATGCAAGTCTCTTTGAAATGCAAATTGTCTATCTATCACTTTATTAATTTACTCTATGTTTCACATTTTAATAATAATATAAGTGTTTCTTAAAAGTGTTCTTTAACTTATTATTAATAATAATGGTTTAAAATTAATGAATAACAATTAAATGATATAACATTAAATTATAAATTACATTTAGCTACAAATAAATGTATTTTAATGGACTCTTATTGAAATTAGAAAATGAAGCACATAAGTAAAAATATAATTAATCAATAATAGAATTGTTACAATAATACTAAGTAGGATAATTAGATTTGATTCTATTAATGAGGAATGTGGGTTGATGTCAATGAGATTATTGTTCAAAATAATTGAGATTATATATATATATATATATATTATATATATATATATATATATATATATATAGATATATATCTATATATAATCTCAAGTTAATGTCAATAACATACATACTTATAAAGCTAAGCTTTTTCCCTTGACACCTCATGCATTTGAAACCCCCATAAAAATTTGCAACACCTCATGCATTTGAAACCTCTTATTTTAATGAATATCACTCAAAAGTCTTTTAATAATGATTAACAATTCAAAGGTTTTATAATTTATATAATATATTTAATAAACAATTAATGGATATACTCTCTCTAAAAGGTAATCTTTTTAGTAGACACACAGATACAAATCACATAAAAATTCACAAAGAAACAAGTTTAAAAGTTTTTGTGTTGGTTTGAGGGTTTTGAACATTTTTTCGAGCCATGTTTATTATGTTTAAGTTTTTTTTGTAAGTTTGTTATATACTAATCTTTTTTTATTTCTTGATTTAAGTAATTCTTCTTTTAAGAATATCATTGTTATGTTGTGGTTGCAATTTAATGTAAATTAGATTAGATTTAGTTATCGATCATATGTTATGGAATGTCATATAGATAATATTTTATTAACTATTGTATACATGTTTGTAATGTTCATGTTTGCTTCAAAAAATAATTAATTAAAAATCATGGATATGTCTATTTATCCATATATCCATGCAAGCCGTTTTTAAAATGCAAATTGTCTTATCTTATCACTTATATTTTAGTATATGTTTAACATTTTTAGTTATAATAATAAGTGCTTTTAAAAGTTTATTCACTTATTAATAATACAAGTGGTTTTAAAATTAATAATAGCAATAATTATAAATAATAAAATCAAATTACATAGATATGTCATATTATCCATGCAAGTCTCTTTCGAAATGCAAATGGTTCTATCTTATCACTTTATTATTTACTGTATGTTCACATGTTAATAATAATATTAAGTGTTTCTTAAAAATGTTCTTGAACTTATTATTAATAATAAATGGTTTAAAATTAATGAATAACAGTTTTAAATGATAATGATATTAAATTATAAATTACATTTAGTTATAAATAAATTGTATTTTAAATGAACGTCTTTATTGAAATTAGAAATGATCACATATAAAAATATAAATAATCAATAATAATATTGGTACAAATAATACTAAATAGATAATATATTTGATTCTATTAATGAGGAATCTGGGTTGATTTCATGATTATTGTTCAAATAATTGAGATTATATATCTAATATAATATAGTATATATATATATATATATATATATATATAATATCTATATAATCTATATATCTATAATCTCAAAGTTATTAATGTCAATAACAGAACCATTTTAAAACCACCCATGACGCCGATGCAGTGTCTACACAAACATCATCGACACCCTCTCTGATGATGCCTCTAAAACCACCCATGACGCCGATGCAGTGTCTACGCTGTCTTTGTTTTTGGAGTTTGTGTTGCCAAGGGTTCCTAAGGAGTCTATAACCAAGTCAAACGCGGCTAAGGCTGCGGAGATTGTGGCTAAGGGTTTACAGGTTTCGAGTGCGAGTGCTTTGGTCGAGTTGTTGAATCAAAATGCAACCATCAAACAATTCAGAGGAAATCGATACTTTTTGAGGTCTATACAATTTGAAAAATGCATGCATTCTTCATAGCAAAAGAAGAATTATCCTATCCCATTCGAATTTTTGAAGCAAGTGATAAAATAATGAAAACCACACAAACATGAAGTTTGGATAAACTAAACATTATACAAAATTTTCCTAATTTACTAAACTAAAAGTTAAATCATGAAAAAAATCAAATCAAAACAAATTTTTAATAATCACAATGGGAGAATGTCAAATTTTTACTTGTTATGGTATGAATTTACATTTCATACAAAAGTTATATGAAATAATTTTATACATTTATAAGCTATAGAACACACACAATCATGTACATACACATTGTATTGCTTGTTGATGTGCTCTTATATATCTACAGAAACTAACATTCTGTAAAATATTAAGATTTGTTTCTCTTTCAACAAATAATTGCCTATAAATATATGCTACTCGATCAGAAATCGTTTATTCTGTTGTTGCAGGTTAGAAAATTTGCTCAGATTTGTGCTGTGAAGGTCTTCCGTTCTTTTGAATCCGAAAAGGTCAAAGAATGTGCAAGTGAATTGGTACTACAAATGTTCACTTCCCATGTGTCTTTACCCATAGACGAATCAAGTTCAGCGGATACAGTAGATCCATGCATTCTTCACATGATGGATGTGATGAGATTCCTAATACCTGATTTACCACCAAATTTCGCATCAAAAGCAATTCGAGCATTACCTAAAGGAGCCAAGTCCTCAATGGTGATGAGGCGTATTTTAGATTTCATGGAGATTCTACTTGAATACTTTGAAAATGATCCGAGCTTACACCGATAGATACTGTAATAATAACAAAAAAGTGGATTAGTGAATATTCCTTAATCATTTGTCGTATAGCAGGTAGACATATATGATATAATATATATTCTTGATATGATTATGATTAGTTATATATATGACTATATTATTTTGCATGTGCTTAAGTTTAGGTCTTGTGACATCTGATCATGCTACTGCTACAAGGGCTTCAAGTATTCTAAAAGAAAAGTTGAGCCGTTTAGATATCTTTGATGGTGTATCTTTTGGATGAAGATGAAACAATTGTTGCACCGGAGGAAACAAAATGGTGGAACTTATGCGATGCACTTTTAGAAATTCTCAGTACCCATGCAAACTAGCATTCTTTACCTGTCATCGCTAGTTTATTTCAAAATATCGGGATCAGGTCTATTGTCTACATGCACAAGATACTTGTAAAGCTTGCTGAATTTATGACAAAACCATCTGGTGATGTAAAAAAACATGTAAGTTTTTCTTTCAAGTACATTTATGTCTTGTTTCTTTTTTTAAAACATATATAATGACTTTTGATATATTTGATATTACAGGTTCAAGAGTGTATCGGGTGTGCCGTAATTGTTATGAAGCCGGAAAAAGTACATGAATTCTTACCTATTCCATTGATCCCGATGAACTTACTTTACACAAACACATGGTTGATACCTATTTATAGGGATCATGTTGTTCTGTCATCCTTGGGTTCTTTATTAGAACAATAGTCCCCTCTCTCCGAATCTTTCATGGAAGCATGCAAAAAAGGTAGCCTCAAAACATACAAATTTTTAACATTTTAATTATCATCATCATGACATATATAATAAAATTTTGTTTTTCTTTCTTGCAAGTTGAAGAAAACTCAGAATCAGAAAACAATTTGAGTCTCATGCACGAGGTTGTTTAGGATTACTGCCTGCTTTTTGTCGCTATCCACTTGACATGCGTGAAAGTTTTGGATCCTTAGCAGATCACATGATTAAATGGCTAAAAAAGGATGTGTTTATGATCGAGTAATTTGGGCATAGCTTTGCAGGTAATATTGTTTTTAAATGTACAATTTTGTTTTTGTAGATGGTTTTGTTTTACTAGTTTTGCTGCCTTTTTTGTTTTGTAGTATCCTGTCAGGGAAAAAAGGCATTCGTTTTCTCTCTGGTGAGGAACTTTTCGAAGATTGGGGGATGAATACAGTAAAGAAGATGCAAGGGAAAATGAAGGCAATGTTACCATGGTTAGAGGAGTTTTTGAAGCCTTTTAATCCAGTTTTCTTTCAACTCTCCCCTGGAAACCTCCTGCTTTGTAAAGGTCATGATAGTAACTTCATCGCTTGATAATTTTATTTATAACATGGTTTTGACTTTTTATACTATGCATTACAGGACACGATTAAATGCCTGACACTTGCTATTGAATCTTCAAAAGTAAAGTGATTTTCCGTTCGTCACTTAAGAATGGTTCTGTAGATGAAGGTATACCTTCAAATAAATATGCTTTGATACTGGAACTGGCATCATTGTTTGTTGGGGCAACCGGAGTTGATTCTGATGATTTGATATACAATTCCATCGAAGAGTGTTTGAAGGTTTGTATGTTTTTTTGATGTTTTTTTTTGGGTAGAATCAAATCATAATAATTATTTTTGTTTTTATGTAGGAAGGGGTAGAGGATGGGATGCATATGCGGCACTTTACAAAATCTTGGTGGTAAGAACCAATACTACTTGGTACTTACTCTCACCCCATGAAATTTGTCACTTAACATTTTTGTTTTTCAGGAATCTTCCGACATCAGATCTTCAAAGTTTAAGCAAGTTATGGATTTATTACTTGGTTTGAAACCTCACTTAGATGGTGGTTTTTGTACTTCAAGATCTTGTTAGTTCGCTCAATGGAGGTTGTTTATATTCTGTTCTAGTTAGTATTATTTATTTCTATACCGTGTGAAATTCGCTCTTTGCTAATAATGAATTTCTGTAGATATTTCATGTCGGAAAGAACATTTATGGTATTCGTATGCTGTATGAAATCATAGTGAGGCCACAAGATGTAAGATCTTAATTTAAGCAACTTAATTACTTGTTTCATTTCATTAAGTTCTTTTTCTTATAGTTATTGTTTGTATAATCTACTTTTGATCTAGAAAAAAAGTAAAAAGGTGGCAGGCGAGATCCTTGTAGAGACAAGTACCATTTTAGAAAAACAATCATCTCCATCAAAACCAGGAAATTATCAAGTATTCATCAGCATGGTATTTTTACCACTCAATATATATATATATATATATATTCTATTAAATAAATTATTTCTTTATTAGTTTTTGAAATCATGAAAACATTCTTTTATTTATATTTTTAACTTTCCAGATAATGTTGTTACTCTTTTGGAGTCCTTATCACGTAAAAGCTCCTTCTCACGTAAAAGCTGATGCAGTCTCTGCGTTATCTCTACTTGTATCTGATGACCCACAAATCTGCCTTCTGATGCCAGATGTTGTGCCATCAATCCTTGGATTGCTGGATAAGGAAGACAACATACAAGTTGTAAAAGTAGGTGTTTTTTTTAAGCTTAGCTGTGTTTCTTCTACCATTCTTGAATTTTATATATATATATATATATATTATATATATATATATATATATATATATGGTGACAGGATGTTTTAGGGTTCATAGAGGCGTTAATTGTCAATCTTCCAGTGAAATACTTGTACGACTTCCATGCTGATATACTTGGTGGGATTCTTCCATGGTGGTATGTTTCTCAACATGATATCAAATCAAAGGTATGTGTTAAGTTATGTATGTATGTATGTATGTATGTATGTATGTATGTATGTGATCATTATGTGTTTTAAATTACAGGTGACTATGATTTTGGAGATTATGATGAAGAAATGTGGTCCTACATCACTCAAATCTCCTGTACTTGAGCAATACCAAGATTTTGTTATGAATGATTTTGGGGTAACAATCACATCACCCATTACCATTAGTAACTTTAAGCACCTGCCATCACCGGAAGGAGATGATGATGATGATGATGATGATGATGATGATGATAATAATAATAATAATAATAATAATAATAATAGTAATAATAATAAAAAGAAGAAGAAGAAGAAAAAGAAGAAGAATAAGAATAAGTAGGCCACTGGGTGTAGAAAGCAGTTGGGAAGATACTCAGATAACAGCCTGAAATGGAAATCTTTCAGGATTATGCATGTATGTGAGTGAGATATGAAGATACATTATGATCTGAACCACTTTATACATGTACCAAGGTTGCTGCACAACTTCTTCCTTTGTGGACTTCTTCCAGGGTCATTTGTTCATCAACATAATATCAAATCAAACGTATGTTTTAAAAATTATGGAGTACGTATGTATGTATGTAAGTATATATATACTCATATGATCTTGTGTTTGCAATTGTACAGGTGACTGATTTTGGAGAATATGATACAGAAAGGTGGTTCTGCATGCATCACTCAAATCTCTTGTAACTGAGCAATAACGAGATTCTGTTATGAATGTTTTGGCATCAATTAGTTTTATGCACCTGCCACCACTTGAAGAAGATAAGAAGACAGAAGTAGAAAACAGTTGGGAAAAGGCAATCTTTCACAATGTTTGCGTGTATACTGTGAGTGATATTGAGATACTTTATGATCTGAACCACTTTATACATGTATGAAGGTTATTGTTTCTCACCTATGTGTGCATGGTACATGTTGAATGCTGTTGATACTTTATATAAAAAATTAAGTGTTTTTATTTTTGTAATTTTAATATTTACTCGTATATTTAATCTTACTTTTGACAAAAGAACACAAGTATCAAAAACATTAAAAAAAAGTCATTATATTTAGGAGAATCGCAATTTATACCCTACATTTTTCTCTCTACTATAAGAATAAACTGAAAGCCAAAAGTCTAACCAAAAGTTAAAGATCTGGAAAAGTCCCAACTCGACGAGTAGACGCTGGAAAGGAAAACCCTAATTTTCCGGATTTTATACCTTATATAAAGAACTTATGGCTCATTTGTGGCCTCCCTAATCACCTTTACAGTCCAGAGAAACCCTAGTTCGTGCACATTTCTTAAGACCAGGTGCTTCCAACCTCAAGGTTGTTGGTGGAAGAGTTTCCAAGACTTGGATCATTTTACCCTATTGGAATGTAGAAGGAAGATTTGGAAGCATTTATTAACCAAGAAATCCATGCCATGACTATTTCTATTTCTTGCCTTCTATGTTTTTGCAAAACACATTATACATACCTTTCCAATATAGGTTTAAGACATATATAATAGCTATGCATGCTTGTACGTGTTGGATTAGGTGTCTAAGCTTATAACTATAAATTGTATAAACTTGAATTGATGGTAGCACAGTCCTTTTGGGTTGCCTTCAAACCTGACAATTGAAAAAGATTACTGTTAGAGAGAGAAGAATGATTTATTATTTTATTACTTGGTTAATAAATTAATTAGAAATCAAAATAAATTATTTATTAATGTATTATGGAAATAATATATTAATTAGTAATCATATTGTTTAATTAATATTTAATCCGAAATTGATTTGGAATTAATTTTGGGATTAAAGGAATTAATTGAAACTGCAGGGACTAAAGGTGACAATGTTCAATAGTTGAGCATTGGGCATTCTAGAACCTCCCAAAGGGGGGGGGGACGAATTCTAGGGTGTTCTAGGGTTTCGTTGGACTCTAAGGGTGTCTTGGATGCCTTAGGGAGGAAGTTAAGGGATTAGGGTTATCTTGGATACACATGTCTTATCCAATACCTTCCTAACACCTATATAAACCCTCCACCATGAGGAATTTCGGTTATGCTCTTCCAAGAGCCCTTGCCTGAAATTTTGATCTACCCTCTCTCTCTATAGTATTCCTTGATTGATTGGTTTGTTTGTAAGCCATTATATGTGTCAGATTTGAGGCACTTGCTCTCAAGAGTTCAAGATCTACAAGGATTAATTGTTATTACTATATAATAATTGAGGTATGTATCTAAACCTTAGTATTAGGTAAATTTCGATTATTATACATGCTTCCTAGGGTTTCTCTTTTGTATTCTAGTTTGCATGTTCAACTAGTGAAAACCTAGATCCAAAAATATAGGGTTGCATGAACACATAGTATTTGTAGTTGTTCTTAAAACCTATCAGTACGATATGTATTGTAATATGTCAACAAGCGATCTATATAACAATATATGTCTATTAACTTAAAAAATTATTACTCCATTGTAATTCTCATTTGTAAATTTCTTTTGATGAAGTATATTATTAGTAAATGTTGAATCTTATCTTACCTAGCAAATCTTTTTTTTTATAACTTAAACTAGATGAAATATTAAAGAATAAATAAAAACTATGAGGGTTAAAAATATTTGAGAACTTTTTATTTTAAATTAACTAATCATTCACGTGGCGGGTTATATGTCTTGTGAAGTGAAACAAAATACAAATTAATAGTATACAAACACCGGGGCGTGTAAAAAACGGTTCCTCTTTTGAGTCCTTGGCTCTCCAACTTTGCATCACAACCACATAAACTCTCTGTTTACGTATATATCACGGCGGTTTTCATTCCGATTTTCTTCTTCCCACGATCTCCTTCTTCTTCACGATTTGAAGATCGCAGCCTCTATTCGTGCCTTCTTCTCCGACTTCATTACCCCACAAACTCCCCTTATTTCTCTGATTGCGTGTGGATGTTGGGTTATATTATTATTATTATTATTATTATTATTATTATCATTATTATTATTATTATTATTCCTATTGTTATTATGTTTCATTATTTGAGTCTTAAAACTATTTTTTTATCGTTTTGTTTTTACATATATAAAACACAAACAATTAAAAATAATAATATTTAGTATATCATGTATTTGTTTAATGATGTTAATTGTGGCTTAAGAATAAATAGATAGCTTTTTAGTTATTATGTATATAGTAATGGGTTCTAATGATACATACGTTTATTGTAACGTTTCTGTTTATGTATAATTGGTTAAACAAAGCAATCAATGTATAATTAAGATGTGAAAAAAATGAAACGAACAAAACGAAATTTGACCTTTGAAAATAGAAAAATTAAAAAATATCGTAGGTAATCTGTAGGTAAATACCTACGGATTACCTACAGATTACCTTTATCTGTAGGTAGTCCGTAGGTATTTACCTACAGATTACCTACAGTTTTTTTTTTCTATTTTTCAAGGGTTAAATGTCGCTTTTTTCGTTTTATTTTTTTCACAACTTAATTATACTTTGATTGCTTTGTTTTTACCGAGTTATACATAACATAAACTTACATACAAACGTATGCACCATTAGAACCCATTACTCATTTAGAACTTTTTTTTATATAAATCAAAGTTATTTTCTAAACACAAATACAAATAAGTACACACATTTACATACACACAATATGTATGTATTATGTTTAGTATATCATGTATTTGTTTAATGATGTTCATTGTGGTTTAAGAACAAACATAGATAGCTTTTTCTTTATTATATATATAGTAATGAGTTCTAATGATACATACGTTTGTTTGTAAGTTTATGTTATGTATAACTTGGTTAAAACAAAGCAATCAATGTATAATTAAGTTATGAAAAAAATGAAACGAAAAAAACGAAATTTGACCTTTGAAAATAGAAAAACTAAAAACTATCGTAGGTAATCTGTGATGGGTTTTATGCATAAGAACAATCCTATGTGCTCATACAGACCCTAATGCTTGGATCTAGGTTTTTCTATTATACATGCAATGAATCCTAGACTTATAGACCCTAGATCTATCAAATAAGAACTGAAATAAGGGTTTAGTAATTACCTTTGATTGTTATATAGCAATAACAATCAATCCTTGCTTTGATTGGATTCAGAAAGCTTAGTGCCTCAAGTGTTGCACCTCTAATGGAGTCACAAACACCACTAAGCAACTTGGATGAAGAGGGAGGAGAGAGGAGGCACCAAAAACGGTTGGAAACCCTAAAGGATTACTTGTCCACGTTTTTGGGGCTTAAGGGTCCTTTATATACATGTAGGCTATTAGGGTTTACAACTAGGAAACCCTAATGTGGCTGCTTAGGCCCTAAGCAGCCCATGGACTCCTTTAACATATCCCTTGAACGATTTCTAATGGGCTTCCCATGGAATTCGTCCAACCTATATATTATTAGGTGATCCATAGCCCAATTGTAATTATCTTATAATTACAAATCCAGTCCTTAAGTTTAATTATCTCTTTTAGCCACTAAATTAATTCTTAATTATTCTGACTAATATAATTAAACAATATGACTTCTCTCTTAATATATTATTCTTATGATATATTAATAAATCATAATTAAACCTTTCTCTCCTTATTTCATCCTACATATCGCTATGGTGAAGGCAACCCAAAAGGACCATGCTCATAATCGGGTCAAGTACGTACCAAAATATTATGGACTTAGACACTAATCCAAAGTCTCCCACTTGGGATAAGTCTAATAACTATTTGCTAACTTCAGAACCTGATCAGCAATCGTAGCTTTCAAAAGCCGCTGTCAACTCTGATCTTATCAGATACGCGTGTCCTTTAGATAAGGGATTATATATTCCTCCATTCTACAAGATATCGTATAGACATGAGACATGGATTGAAATCATTCTCTCAGTCTATGTGTCGTATCCCGATTTCCGATTTATGACGACTGACTAATTGAACAAATCAAATCAGTCCTGGCCCGGCCGAGCACTTTCCTTTGTCATCACTAAATCATCGAGGGGCCCACAGATATCGCTTTTATCCCACCTTGGGTAAAAGGAATGGATAAACTTTAACTCAAATGCTTGCTTGCACCTACTAATCGAATCACACACAACAATAAGTTTTATAACACCAAGTTACTGGTGTGTTTACTTATCATCAATGTGCAACCGACCAGCAAATAAACAACTCACACGTCTCGGTTTCAAGAATATACAATGTTATCGTCTCACCAATCACTGTGATAAAAACCATGAAGTGATTCAAGTGAGTGTGGGTTTAATTCAATACTTTAATCTTATCAAAGGACCCATGAACTCTGCAGCAAACTTGTGCTATGTCTAAACACTTTAGACAATCCACAGACAGATTCATGACAGTCTTCCTTCATACCTACTTCCAACGTATGACCGACTGTGGAGGTTCAAATAACCTAGTTATTCTGGAAGTCAAAACATGCAAAATGAAACGCAATAATAATATTAATCCTATATGGTCCCAAAACTTTTGAGCGTAAATAAAAACACTTTTATTTAAACACCATATTGATTACTCATTATTCATTGCTTACTGTTTCAGAAAATCAACTTATTACTCGAATTATAACCACAATTGTCCCATGCTCCAAGCATACACACTTTGGTTTCCTATGGTCCATACTTTGTGAAATAGATCAATTGAAAACTTTTCCAATGAAACTCATTTCATAATCCCCAATCCTTATTATTAGTATAAGAATACTAAATTCTTGCCACTTTTAGAATATGCCAGATTCTAACATTTTATGCAATGATTCTTTCGTAATGTCATAGCACAAAAGTCACCAAGACCCGGCTAATGAAATTACAAGGTATTCTATCAGAATTGTTACAAGACATTCCATAGACGTGAAGTCTCACATTCAAA